TTAGCAAAACTAAGATGGTTGATCCTGATGCCCAATCTTCCGAATTTAATTCCATGAAGAGTATGGTGCTCTAAGTTATCACAAAGGAGAGAACAGAGAGCCTTAATGCACATTATAAATAAGTATGGAGACGACAGACATCCTTGACGAAGTCCTCTCATTGGCCTAAATGTTTGCCTAGAAACGCCATTGACCAACACTGCCAAGCTAGGAGTGGAGATACAAGCTGAGATAAGTGAGCAGAAACTATACTGGAAACCCAGTGACTACAAAATCTTCAGGAGGAAAAACCATTCAATCCTATCATAGGCCTTAGAGAGATGCACCTTCAGCATGAAGTACCCTGTTTTGCCCTTCTGTTTGAGTGTCAGAGTGATGATTTTGGCAATTATTTTATAAGTTACATTGCAGAGTCCAATGGATCTGAAGTCATTTGCTTCCTCAACACTATATGATTTTAGAATTAAACAAATTGAAATTTGGTTTACCTCTGCGATTTGAGAAGGATCTTAGAAACACTATTGGATCAATTGAGTTAACTCCGGGCCAATTAGGTGCCAAAAATGTTGATAAACTATAGCTTGAATCCATCAGGTCCTGGAACCTTAGTAGTTCCAATGCTGAAGACAATGAGTTCGGCCGGGCTACATATCCACATGTTACAATGCGGGTTGCACTTCCATCCGCATTGTAACACGTAAATGGTTTAAATAACGTACAAAAAAAGTAAAAATGGGAGTGTTAATTCTGTTACTTATTTTTTCTACACTTTTTCAACCTAAAAAATAAAAGAAAAGCTTTAAGTTTATTTATGGTTTTTGAATTGTTGTTGAACCGGATGGTGAGACAATTTGGCCCAAGAATCGTTTAGATAATTGGTTCCGTTTTACCTCAAACTCAGTTCTTGGTCAAAAACCTTTGAATCAGTCAACAACCCGTTGACTCGTTCAACGATTTTTTGCCATTTTTATTTTAATTATTTTTTAATTTTTTTTAAATTTTTATGTCAAAACGGGCCATTCATTTGAATTGGACGGTCAAATCGTCGACTACAAGACCGGTGGCCAAAATGGACTAGATCGGACCGGACGGTCAAACCAGAAAAACCGTCCATTTTACCCCAGAACAATTATTTTGCCAAAAACCATTAATTTGATTAGCAAACCGCTGACTTGGGCGTTCGAACTGTCCAACGGTTTTGGTCGTTTTTAATTTTTTTTATTTTTAATTTTTTGTCAGAACGGGCCATTCGTTAGGTTTGAATAGTCAGACCATTCGACGCGGACCAGGGTCCAACGAATGGGTCATTTGTTTGAATCAGATAACGAACTGGTCAGGGGTCCGGTTCTTGGGTCGAACGGTCCGACCATTCGAATCAAACTGACGGCCCATTCTAACAAAAAAATTAAAAAGATTTAAAAAATAAAAAACGACCAAAACCATTGGACGGTTCGAACGCCCGGGTCAATGGTTTGTTGACCAAATCAACGGTTTTTGGAAAAGTAACGATTCTAGGGTAAAATGGATGGTTTTTTTGGTCTGACTGTCTGGTCCGGTCCATTCTGGCAATCGTCTTCGAGTTGACGATTCGATCGTCTGATTCAAACAAATGGTCCGTTTTGACATAAAAATTTAAAAAATAATAATAATTAAAATAAAATGGCCAAAAATCGTTGTACGGGTCAATGGATCATCGACTAATTCATAGGTTTTTTGTCAGGAACCAGATTTRAGATAAAACGGAACCAGTTGTTTGGACAATTCTCGGGTCAAATAGTCTAACCGTCTGGTTGAACAATGGTTCAAAAACCATGAATAAAATTGCTTTTTTTTATTTTTTAGGTTGAAAAAATGTAAAAAAGACAAATAACGAAAGTTAAAACTCTCGTTTTTACTTTTTTTATACGTCACTTAAACTATCTACGTGTTACAACGCGGATGGAAGTGCAGCTGTAACATGTAAATGTGTAGCCCAGCCGAACTCAAAGACAACTTCCTTGATTTCATCAACTTATAGAAGGCGACACAAAATGTTATTTTCATGAGGGATGATTGAGGACGTCCAAGATCCATTCTCATTCTTTAACCAATGGACTGATGTTCTTCTTTTGTTATTGGAGGCCAACATGTGAAAGTAATGGGTATTACAATCCCCCTCACGTATCTTTGAATCCCGGGATCTTTGTTTCCAATATTCTTTCTTCCTTGTCCAACCAACGTTCAAGCTCGAGTCGCATAGCTTTTTCCTCTTCACCCATACAGCAAGCCACATCAAGGCTTTCTAAATAAGAGAGCTGATGGATGTGGTGGTGTATACAACCGTATTTACGTTGGGCCCAAGAGACCATTCCTTTCTTAACCGTTTTGCATTTATCAATGAAAGATCCTGGAGCAAGAGTCCACTTCTCAAAGAACAATTGTCGTATAAGTCATTGTCCTTGAACCAAAAAGATTCAAACCGGGTGTGTCCAGTTCTTTTTTGCTTTAGAACAAAGTTGAGTGATCACTGGCGAGTGCTGGCAAATGGAACACAGTTGCATTTGGGAAAATAAACCCCGATCCAAAAACTGCTTTACTAGGTTCTAGGTATTGCGACGGTTTGACCAAGTAAAATGAAGACTGGCACCACCCGAGTCAATTAAAGCACAATCATCAAGGAGTTTAGTGAACATTTTTAGCAYTCTTACTTTTGGTCTAGCTCGGTGTCTGCGCCCTTCAACTGATGGATGCACGTAACAACCTTGTAGACTTGTCTAAAGAACTCTTTGTTTTAGATCAAACGGGATTTTCTACTCACTTTTCCTATCAATTCTCTATTCACGATAGATAGAAAATAGATAGGAAAGGTGAATAAGAAATCTGGGTTCGTTTCAGATGAAAAAAAAAAAGAAGGAAAGACGTTCCATAGAGAAAAGTCTGTTAAAATTTTCAACTGTAAGTTGACTTTCCGCACATTTTGAATGCAGGGTAAAGTATAAAGTAAAGTATAGAGTGCAAATCTATATTTTACTCTTAACAGTATCCACTTTATTCGGGAGTCTTATCAGTAAACAGCCAGGATTTTCAAATTATTAAAATAACTCTTTGTCAAATTTAGTGCAGAGATAGAGGCCTTAATAATGCAATACATTATTATGTTGGAAGACTCGGACCGAACTAAAACCAGAATGCTCTACACGTGACGGTTTTCGACATTTTTCAGTTAACCAGATGGTTAGACTGTCGAACTCATAAAAAACCATCAGTTAATTTAGACCCAAAAGGCCCATCAACTTACGATTTTCAAGTTCGACAGTCTTGCTCAATTCGAGCCTTGCAACATGAGTACGTTACGTCTATCAATTACCCTCATGAAAAAACAGAGCAAAACCTACAAAAGAGGATACGCATATAAATTCAGATCATTGGATTTAATAGGACCAAAGTGTATATAAAAAAACTCGGTGTTTTCTTCCACTTGGGATCTGTTATTCACAAGTTATTCAAAAGTGTATATCCACAGAGCACCACCATCATGTATTGGGAATATCTCACCTTGAATGACAAAGGAGATATTCCCAATGCGCAGTTGTCATGTCTCATGGGTAGAAATGTGGGAACATCTCGTGGGTAGCAGATCCAATGCGCAGTTGTCATGACCCACAAAATGGTTAAAAACATTATCTTAAAACAAAATACATAAAATGGGTGCTTGGTTGTACAATGTTTTCTTCCCATAAAGCGCATCTCGCAAGAACTAAGTACCGGTTGCCCTATGTGTTTATCCAATGAATAAGCAAGCCATATAAACCCCGCAAATCTTCACTGGAAAAGTAATTTGTTAACAAGATAATTGAGACGACAGACTTTTAACCGGGGAATTTCGATTTGGTCCTCACAGAACCTCCTCTCTAGGAATAAAAACATTCCATTACAGAGATATTTCCAATGCATGGCAGAAAGGAATTGGGATCTGCTCCTCATAAGCCACTCCTCATACGAACCTCAGCTACATCTCACTATGTATTGCCCTATGTACAGTTAAAACATGCTGTGAGGTTGATGTGAAGAGCACGCTGGAAGGAGCAGATCCAAACTCGGCAACAAGGAAATCGGCTTCCCATAAAAAAACACATACAAGTACTGGAGGTAATCCCAATTTCATCACTGGGGGAGTTGAAATCTGCAACGATGACAGAGGTGGTAACACAGGCTAAGAGATACCCACACCAATCATAAAGGTTCACAACCATTAAACCACTATGCATTTTATGGCTAATATGGGGTATGATCATTAGTTCCACAGACGGCTACACGGATATTGCATTCATCTAATCCAAATAATGCCGAGTGACCATACTGACAACTGAATACCCGGCTTTTGACCAATGAAAAATAGGATGCCTGAACTGCCTGAATCTGATTCCAGCACATGACTAAGCTTACTTGGAACATAGGTGCTACCTGTRACTTGTGTTCCAAGCTTCCAACCAATTTGAGTCAAATGGAGTGTATCAATGGTATGACAGTGGTTTCCCAGTCGGTGTAAAAGTGTAATGAATATAACAGGGAAGGACGGTGCGTTGCTTTTGTTTCGAGGGGGGATCTGCTGCTGGCGACGCTTCAGCAGTAGATCACGGTGTTCAGACATGCCATTCATAAATGCCGTGGTCGAACCTTTCTGGTTTATGTAATAAAGATCACGTTCTCTTCTTTTTGCCCTTACCAAAACAAAACAAAACAAAAAAAGAATCACAGCATTCGTGCATCGAATTCACGTGTCCTTCTCCAGGATTACGAAGACCTGATCAGTAAATTCTTAGAACACCTGGAAGGACGCTTGCCTGAAAGAACGAAATCCCCATGAAGCTTCAATATCAAATGGCGACCTAAACTTGTCGCTTATGTGACGCCTTGAGAAAAATCTGAACTTTCACTTGATACCAAGAATTGGTATCTCAGTAACTATTTTTTTGATAAATGAAAATCTCAGTAAACCATTGCATTGACGCATGATCCGCTATACCTTAATATTTTTATGGGTTTATTCCAGAGAGCCAACAGAAGTGAGGAAAATATAGATGCATCTCTTTGTTTCCCCATTGTTACCAATGAAAAATGTAACAGGTACAGGAACAGGGAACAACATGCATGTGTGCATCAGAATCTTTTCACCGCACACACCCAACAGAGAGGGTCGTAGCCCTAATTAACTTATAAGCAAGCAAATACACGGTTTAAAAAAAGGGGTACCAAAATTGGAGGAAAAAAAAAACTCATTCCTGCAATGGAGCACCATTTGATGACACATCCATAGGTTCGGCTTCAGCTGACTCCTCAATCTTGTCACCCTTCTTCCCTGCAAAATAAAAAATACATATCCATCAATGAAGACCGTTAATATATTCCCAGTTCTTTTCCAAAACACACTCGTGATAAAAACAAGGTCCAGATGAAATCCGGTTTGGAGCAGATTAAACCATTTGGCATTACTGCATTAGCATATCAAACATCTTAACTAAAATCCAATTCTTCCCTTTCTGATGATTTGTTCTGAACTCCCATGTAGTAATCGGAACATGGAGCCCAACTCTTTCCAAGATACAAYGATTTTAATTAATAGCTCCAAATAAAAAAGGGTGGAAGCCTACTATAGCAATGCATATACCAATACCATAGTTCAGATGTCAATCCTTGTGGGAGAAATCTAATGCCCTTAACGCTTTCTAGACCATTAGCCATCTCAGCTAATCAATAGAACAAAAAGAGCAAACAATTTGCAAGCAGCCAGTCTACCAAGCTATGCGTGTGGACAAGTTGATGCAACTAAACTGACTAGAACAGCTTCAAGAAATGGATTTCATTTTTTAATACATCTCAATTACGCTGAAGGTCAAAAAAAATGCAATCACTTTCTGTCCACCTCGGTTCTACAACTACCAAAAAGTGTCACAATAGAATGTAGGGCTTTTTTCAAGTTTCAAATCACCTATCGAATGGCACCAACCCCACAAACAACTAAAACTGTACAAATCACAAGAAACCAGGGAAAAAACATTATCCCAATAGGCAACTCCATTCCAAGTCCAGCATAAGCCAACAATTAAAACTGATGGCTCTCTAACATCTAGCTGATGCCATGATCCCAATCAAGAACGAATACAATGAATGATAACTGGACGTAGCTTACTAAATGTTACCACAAAAACKTGGCACAGAAGTATTACTTAGCTTTTCTAGCGGGTCACACACCTTCATACACCATATGCTTTTTTCCATTTTAACAACACTAGCTGGGCCAACTTCTTAAACCGCAATTTATCCAGTTAGATATGTACAATTTAGTAAATTTTATTAACTTATCATTTTATCAACATACCTTTCTTCTTCTTCCCACCACCTTTCTTCTTTGTCTTTGTGCCCAGAGCTAACCAGGCCTTGATTTCAGGATCATCATCTATTGTCTTTGTGGGCTGCAGCTCCTGCAGAGCATGGGATGTGATGCGGTCTGACCCATTCGGCATTAACAAAACTGTGAATTTAATATGGGCAACAAAATCACCTGCAGAGACAAACATAAAGTACTGGTCATATACTATAGCCCCGTAACATCAGTATACGCGTGTTAATTGCTAGCATGATGCTCAGTTTCTGAAATTTCTAAATGTCAACATGGATAGATAGATGATGCTCACCAGGTTTCTCATGAAGAACAGGGTATGGCTGCAAGAGATCATGATTTACACATTCCACTAATCCCAGCCGGGCCCTCTTCTCCTCCAAAGCCCTGATAGGAAAAAGTCCCTTATAGTACTAATTAGTAACATATAAAGGCAAGATGACTAAAAACATCATAATTGCACTAGAAGTAAACAATAGGGAAGGCTAGTAGCAAACCTTGCTGAAAATGGCATGATAGGGAATTTCTGATTTATTTCACTGAAGATGAACCTGGAGGATTTCATCTTCAAGTGGTAATTCTTGTCAACAGCTCTTTTGTAAATTGTTGTTTGTCTCTCATCCAACAGCTTGGGCTGTGAATTATTTTATCCCAGAAATAGAAAGTCAAGAATAAGATGGCATATCATTGAGCAAAAATAACATCATGGTCAATTGCACATTCGTATACCTTACCATCACCGGTGCTGGTGACTATATCAATTGCATAGACTTCATTTTCCTCAAATTCTGCATCATCAACTCTGGTCTCCGGACTAGATACATTCAGTATGACTTTGTTTCCATCAATCACAAACTGTTTAAGTTGGTGACTGAGAACACCTTCAACAATCTTGCAGTCATACGCAGCAGCAACCTTCTGAATAGCATCTGTAACATCCTTGTTCTGCCAAACCCAGAGTGACTTGGTAAAGAATTGCAGAAAGCTTGGAAGTAAACTTGATAAATACGTGTCCGGATATAAACTCATGATGGAGCTAGCTAAGTAAAGAAATGATAAAAACATGGAAGCAAGAATGATAATAGCAAATAAAAAGAGAAAAATGATTGGTTTAAGTGCAGACAATCTTGTGGATGCCAAGGTTATCTTATGAACTTTCTTGACAGATTAATCAACAATGATAATTACAAGCAGTGACAAAAATATCAGACCAATTAGATCCTATTATAAGCATTGGTCTTTTAAAGGATAGTTTCAGAATGTTGTTTCCTTTTCAGAAATCCTCCTTTCACCACGACTGCAGAAGAAGCTGCATAAAAGATGACAGCACAGAGGGATGCAGAAGAAACTGCAAGCATGTGTATGCACACAAATATACAGATATTTCAGGGCAATAAATTTAATAACATAGATAAAATCAAAATAGATAAAAATGCACCTAGTAGCACCTACCAAGCAATAAAACATTGATGTGCAAAAGCATACATCAAGAATAAAATGAAAAGAAAATATACATCAAATTAGAAACATTTTGAGAAAAGGCACTCCTTTACCCACATTGAAACAAATAAAAAAGGGATTAACAAGAAATTGATCATTCCCACACTCTCATGCCCTAGTAAAAATTTTGTGGATGAAATTCGTATTTTCTTTGCCAGTGGTTTCTAGCAGCAGGAATCCTCCTTGTACTTTGAATAAAACTTCTAATTTGGGCTTCCAATAAAAAAAAGACAGGCAATAAAGAGAATATTGAAAATATTCCATATTGTTTCTATGCAAATATCCCACTTATGCTTCCAGCCATATTACTTTCCTCATAATTTTAACATGGCAATGACCTAGAAATGCACATCATTAGGTCTTCATCCCCATGCCCTTTACCAACAATTAAAGGAAGGAGGAAAGGCTTCTAAGATAAACTCCACATCAATTCAAAGAACCTGACCCCATATAGACACCATGTAATTTTATTTTTGTGATCTAACCTGTAATAAGATATTTTGGCTAAAGAAGGATGTGCACAACAGCAAAGGTATCAACTTATGCACCCAAACATAGCCAATTACAATATGGGCAACAGGGAAAAGAGGTGGGACAACAAGGCAATTGTTCACCTCGGCAAAGTTGCCTACAGGAACACTGCCTCCTCCTATCTAAACAAGTTGGTTATTTCAACATGCTAATTGGCAGTGACAAAGAAATGCGCATCCTATGATTTTTACCTCAATGCAGGAAGGAAAATTTTCCAGAGCATGCATCAAATCAACTCAGAGACACTAGGCAACGAACAGACACCATGCAGTTCTATGCAATTACTCTGTAAGCTTTGACATATTTTGATGGAAGGGAATGTGCGTCTATCAAGACGTCACCAAATGCACGCAGAGCCAAGTACCATATTTAGAACAGAGAAAAGAGAGATTGCAATAAGCAATTGGCCAACTTGGTAACATTCCCTGCAGTGATGCCACCTCTTTCAATATAGTCAAGAGATTGATAACTTCAAAGCAGTGCTTAGCAGTGACCAAAAACGGAAAACTTCCAAGGCATGTTTCACATCATATGGAAACACCTTGTGCTCCACAGAAACCATACAGATTTGTCTTTGTAATCTGTAGACTTTAACAATATATGTTGGCCAAAGTAAGGAACGCACATCAATCAAAATATCAATCAATGCACCCAAACMTAGCCAAGTACTCAATATAGGCAACAGGGAAAAGAGGGGGAACAATAAGCAATTGATCACCTCGGCAAAGTTGCCTACAGGGATGTCAGTCCATTCAGTCAACAGGAATACCACTTTATTGTATTTCATGGGTATCATGACATCTTTTAGTATCACCAGAATGAAAAAAAAAAATACATGGCAGAGAACAAGATATTTCTCTATCTATGTAACCATAACAAAAGCTTTGTTTGGATATTAATGAAGAAATATATATGATGCTGGAAAGGCATGACACTAGAAAACTTTGGCCAATCAAACACCCCAGTCCCCACCTGGTGAATTCTGACGAATACCACCTGATTGGTTACCACTTTTATAATATCATTTATTGGTTATAATCTTTACCGGTTATCATAGTCAGACTGTATTAAACCTTTACAAGTATTTTATAATTCAGGCTAGCATATTTACATGAAGATAGAAAAAGGTATAGGAAAAAAGATCAAGGAAAGCCAAAAATTTGAAGGATTCATTTGGATTGCACTACTTTTTTTTAGAAAAGATAATTCAGCAGAAAATAATAGAGTAGCAATAGAGACATTAGCTTAAGCCATATGTTGGTGTACTTCGTTCAGCATTTACAGTGACAAGCAAGCATGCTAGGTCTCTAATGCCATCCGGAAACTACCTTTTGTGCAGAGAAGTAAATTTCATTATCCACACAACTAGAGTTGGCCAACTCAGACACAAAAAGAAACAAAAATAAGCAAAAAAAAAAAAGAAACAAACTTATTTCACCAAACAAATAGGAAATTGAAGGGACATGAGGTCCTATCAGTGTAACTATGACTAAAAGCTTCATCGGAGCTTGCTCCATAGCTCTGATAAGTCATCATATAGAGAAATCATGTCCACTAACACATAAATAAATAAATAAATAATGCTACCTGGATAATCTCTCTGCAGTAAAAAAAAAAATTGCCATAAGACTACTCAAATTCATCATATATGAATGAGAAAAGGCAAAAAAAATGAAGAGTATAATCAGTTTTCTCAGAAGCTGATAGCAAATTACATAAACRGAGCAGCAATTCACAAATACATTCAACAAACGCCTTAAAAGATAGCAATCAATCTCAAAATACAGAAAAGAAACAACAACTTAGTCAAACAGCAAGTATAACTTTTTAGCTTATTTCATACAAACAAAGCATAGTACTAATGAACTGTCCTTGTTTAAAAAGAGAAAGGGGGACCGAAACCAAGAAAAAGCCCACACAATGGACTCCAAAAGACATGTAGGCCAATAAAGGATGCCAAATATCAATCAACAGAATATAGAATGATTAAAAGCACCTATGCATGGCCAAACAATATAGGCAACAGGGAAAAGAGGGAACCAATAAACAATTGATCACCTCGGCAAAGTTGCCTCTACCACTTCAGTTTAAACAATTACCTGGTGGTCATGTTGTGAAATTATATGAGAAAAAACATTCAACAGTGCCATAGACCCATAGGAACAAGAAATCAATTTTACAGTGGCAAAAGGTGAAACACCACGTTAAATGAGACGTATATACCCATTAGTATAATAAATGAAACTCAACAGAAGTAGAACCAACTGATTATCAGCAGTTTTTTGGGTAACACAATTAAATAAAGGGGTGAGGGCAGAGAGAATACAGAAAATGGCAGCAAATTTTGACTGAGAAGGAATAAGAAGAGCACTGGGTGTGCCCATACATCTTCCCCATCCCCTCACCGCCCCCACAAAAAAAAGGTAGAGAAAAGGGGCTCTGTGGAACATGAAATCTATCAGTGTAACTATGACTAAAGCTGCATTTGGAGTTTATTCCATAGCTTTCAATGAGTTCTCATCATCTAGTAAATCATGTCCACTGACTTCATAACAGAAAGTGTAAGCAAACAGAAACTTGATTTTACTTGGGGGTAAGCATCTAAAAGGCACTTAAAAGCACCTATACCCTATTTATTGCTTGAACTGTGAAATAAGATCAAACAGGTTTAATATATCAACTGAATGTGTTAAACTTAGGGTTAAGCATTTAAATGGCATTTCAAAAGCACATACACCATATTTATTGTTTGAACTGAAAAATAAGATCAAACAGGTTTAAATAAACTGAATGTGTTAAACTAAGGGTTAAGCATCTAAATGGCATTTCAAAAGCACCTACACCCTATTTATTGCTTGAACCGCAAAATAAGATCAAACGGGAGTAAATATTTCAACTGTCCTCAGTCCTTTGGATGGTCATTTTTTAAGAAAAATAGAATCTATTGATTGCATTCAATTTCCAGCATCTCAAACCAAGTAGAATTGAGGTTTGGCATTCATGCATGCTAATTAACATAGGCATTAGGTACCCACTGAAATAACATAATGTAGAAAATATAATATTAAAAGGTATTTGCCAAATAATACAAAAGAATATTAAAATTTAAGATTGCAGGCTGCAGAACTTTAGTTGTACAATTACGGACTCAGTATCATGCCAGAGATTCTGGGTTCAAGACTTTTGAAACATTCAAGTACCATATTCAAGAAAATTATATTAGAGTAGCAGACCAAAAAATATCAACAAACAAGAATTAAAACTTAAAAATAAATCATAAGGAGAAAAATAATAAAGGGATTAGAATTTTTCTTAGAAAAAACCTCCCCAAATGGAGCTCATAAATATTTTTAATATTTATCCTTCAATTTTCTGCTAGTTAAGGCAGTCACTGAAGACATGATGATTCCTCCCTGCTTCAATTTAAAAACAATAACATGATCCCTCTGTCAGGGTAACTATGACATAAGCTTCACAAGGACATTGATCCATAAGCAAAGGTTCATAATACATCATTCAGATGAACCATGTCCAATCATTGAAACAGTGAGACTAGTTAAAAAGTATTTGAAAAGTCAAATGTCACATGAGTAATGCCATTTAGTGAATTTCCTCGCTCAGAATGGATGTGATAATGCAAAGACAATAGAAACCTAGATTATACAACTTTTTTCCAATCAGCCACCTAGATTACAAAACTAACAACATCAGATAACTTCAATTGACAAATTATTGAATTATAACTTGTAACTTAATGTTCCTTTTCCTATGTTGACATAGGCCTGCCACAAAAAAAAATACAAAAGGAAAGCTCCAAGCAAGATTTTTTGTCGAATGAACTCCTCTAGGATTAACTCACACAGAACCACTCACTAAGCAAAAATGATACATAGACAAATTCCAATTTGTTGACCATTACTTATCAAATCCTGTTCTATAATCTGGACACAGAATACAATATATATGGTTAACCATGGAGTTGGCAATTTGACACGGTAACATAAGCAATCATATTATATCATATRAAAGAAATACCACATGGAATCTACAGCTAATCAACAACATATAAAATACACAAAACAAGAGGAAAACATTCAAAGAAATACTATGTTTTCTTTATTTGCTTTTCCTTCCTCAACAGGAAAGACGTATCGCATCACGTATTATTGAGTGCACTCCAAAAACAAAACAAGTAAAATATAGCAGCACTAGAAAGATGATCAAGAAAATATAAGAACTGAAGCAGATGGAGAAAACAACTAAAAATAAATTATAAACTTATAACCCTAACATGTATTATTACCTTTCTTCCAGGCCTCACGAGCCTCAAAGCAACTTCAGCAGCCGTATTGGCAGCTGCCATAACATCAGCTGCCCTACCTGTCACTGGCCCTTCCTTTAGGACGTGAGTGTGCGCAACAACAGTAATAAACCCGTCAATGTGGCAACCCATGTCTCTGCAACAAACCAGTAAAAATCTCACTACAATATTTAATAACTTCATTTCGCATTTAAAGAACTATGCATATGGAAAATAATGTACTCGAGGAGATGGAACTTGAAAACTGAACTCACATCTTTAGCATATCACCTTCTTCCAAAACAGTTTCATCACTGGCAAGCGGAGAAAAGTGGCAAACGGTGTTGTTTACGGAAATACATGTTGGGAAGGCGACACCCCTCTCGATCTTCCTCTTAACATTCTTGTACATGTTCCCAGTTTGCCTATATACACAACCCAAGGGCACATGTTCTAACATAAAACCCACCAATATAACCAACTCACTTAAAATTAAGCAAAATATATAAGTAGATAAGAACAACCAAACAGATGAATAAACATGATAACCCAAGCAAAACAAATTCTTACTCCCTGATAAAAGCATCTCCCTTCTCACATATATCTACAATCTTAGCTTTCGGTTTGCATTCTGATAATACCAGCTGCAATGCCTCTGCAATTTTTCAAAATTGGATTTTCACCAATTTTCAAAAACACAACCGCCAGGAAATCAATAACAAGCTAACAAATTTTCAGTTTTCAATCTCTAGGGTTACAGAGCTAGATAAAACGGAAAAGAAAATAAAGACAGGACAAAGGGAGATATTGAGAACGATATTAACTATTGACGATCTCAGCTGCGTTCTTGTATTTGGTGACGACTTCGGGGGAAGTGAGATCTAACTCCTTCTCCTCCTTCAATTCTTCGTCAGACATCACTACAACACTTTGAATCTCTCACTGCGATTAAATGAAATGTCAAATGTCTAAATGAGCAATAAGACGCAGAGATCAGAACAAAGAAAAATATATGAATACTTACGAGAAGGGTATAGAAGATGTAGGGAAACACAAAAACTGACCGAACAACACCACTTGAACCAATTACTAGGGTTTTAGTCAACCCGTTCGGAAATAGGGTTTTAGGACTGGGGAGCTAAAGCGAAGCCGTCTCCCTGCGTCTAGATAAAGTATACAGCTTGTACATTGGGGCAACTAGGGCATCAACCCTGATTTATATAGAAGCGTTACCGGTCATGAGCCACACTCCCTTTTCTTGTTTTTACTCCTTTTCATTGGTTACTTCAACCTATGTAATAATGGGTAAACATTTGTTTTTTTAACCAGAATTGATTTTTTTAGAAAACGAAAATATTTCACTTATCTTCCGCTAAATTTTCTAATAATTACAATTAACACCCCATATAACTTGTAAGGATGACAATTTTCCCATTCTCGCCAATTACAATTACAATTTTCTAATAATTACAATTAATAGAGATCCCAAATTAGGGATGAGAACAATGATGGGCTGAAGTCCCTCTCCCACCCTGATCTCAATTATAGATATATTAAATATTAGGATAAATTATAAAACCCATTTGCACTATAGAGTTAGCGACAAAGACCTTCTTGAACTTTAGCCTTTAGGCAAAGACCCCGCTCTAATAGTGTTTCATCGATTAACCTTAAAAGAAATTTTCATCCAACTGTTTAAATATTCTTAAATGCCCAAATTATCATTTTCTAATTGATTTGGTTTCTTTTATTTTCACAAGATCGCCTCCCTTCTTCCCTTCGTTTAGACTCCAACAATATTAACTCCACCTGGAGTTTGTTAAAGATATGTTAAACTACTATGTTCCCACTTGTACAATTGGGTCCACTTGCTCTCTTGCCAAGTGTAAATTAGTTGGGTCTATGCTATGTAATCTCTATTTATACCCCTCCACTCATTAATGAAATACAATAAGAATTTTTCCTCTTGTCAACATTTCATATGATATCAGAGCGACAAGTTGCTATTATCCTTGCATCTCCTCGTTTTCTCTCTAACTYGGTGTCTTCTTCATTTTTTTTCGTAACTTTTACAAGATGGCGACTGAAGCAAGTATTGGCAATGTAGCCAATAACTTCTCTTATCCTTCATTTACGTATTTCCTCAATTCCTCTGATAACCTTGAAAAAAAAAAGAGAATAAGAACATAGAAGAAATATTGTGTGTGTGTGTATATATATATATATATTAAATAAAATATATTTTTATTATTTTATATATAGTATCAAGTCGGGCCCAGTGCTTTAGGCTCAAGCCCGCGGGCCTAAAATTATGGCCAAGCCTGACTTATAATGGGTCGGGCCAGCCCATCGTGCTCGGGCTACCCAGCCCATGAACAAGTCTACTTGGAAGAAATGCAACTCAATGGTCATTTATTGGATTTACAATGCTTTGGCTAAGGAATTGCATGATGGTGTACCTTACATGGGTGATGCTTAGGCAATCTGGTTAGACTTGGAGGAGCGATTCTCACAAAGCAACGGACCTCGTATCTTTCAACTAAAGCAAGAGCTRCTGAGCTAGCATTGCTCAGACAGAACAATCTCTATCTCAATTTACTCAGACAGAACAATCTCTATCTCAATTTACTACACCAAGCTGAAAGCTATTTTGGGATGAACTTGCAGCTTGTGCACCAACACCAAWTTGTTTTTGTTGTTCCTATGGTATGGCTAAAGATCYTGTCACAGAACGTGAAAGGGATCGTGTCTACTAATTCTTGATAGGGCTTGGTGATTGATTCAACACCATCCGCTCTAGCATCATTGGAATGGATCCTCTTCCATCGTTTAGCAATGTATATGGCTTTATTCTACAATAAGAGAAACACCAGTTAGTAGTTGGTCAGCATTCCCCTTCAGTAGAAGCAGCGGCCTTCCATGTGATAGGTTAGTCCAAGAATGGAATCAAGAATTCCAAAGATTGACCAAAATTATGGTGTGGCCACTATAAAAAGACAGGACATGCTAAATAGCGCTGCTATGAACTTGTTGGTTATCCTCTTGGCTGGGATATGAGAGGTAGAACTGGTTCCAAGAACGGTGGTGCTCCAAAAAAACCAAATCCACCAAAATTTTCTTCTTCTTCACAAGCTTCGACAGTACCTATAGATTCATCTCCAATAGCTGGTTTATCAATGGAGCAATATCAACAAATACAACAACTCCAACAATATCTTTTGAGTCTTCTCAACTCGAATAAGTCTATAGATTCATCCAACTTTGTTGGTAAGACTTTTCCCTTATGTTCGATATTGGAATCAGGATCTTGGTTACTAGATAGTGGAGCGTCAGATCATATGGCACCTCCCATTGTAGATCACATCACTCATACTTCTTCCACATCTACTAAGCCAGTTCATTTACCTAATGGTACCATGTTACCAGTCCAATCATGTGGTGATTTGAAATTACCTTATGGTTTACCTTTACGGGATGTTTTATTCATACCAAATTTCAAATGTAAACTGGTATTCATAAGTAAGCTAACCTCATAGCTTAATTGTGTAGTCATATTCTTTTTGAGTTTTTGTGTAAACAAAACTTGAGCTCCAAGAAGGTGATTGGACTTGGTTTGATGCATAACAGACTATACCATCTCACAGTTGGTACATCATCAGTGGCCTTACATATTGTACATGAAGTCGAATCCAAAATAGTGGCACTCCAAACTAGGACATACCTCTTATCATTGATTGGATTTGATTTCTAATTTACATTTTAGCATTCCCAATAATGCTTGTTGCGACATTTGTATGAGAGTTAAACAAACATGTTTATGCTTTCCCCATAGCCTTACACACACTAGTAGTTGTTTTGAACTGGTGCATATTGATATTTGGGGCGAGTATCGTACTCCATCTCCTTCTGAAGCTCGCTACTTCCTCACCGTTGTGGATGATTACTCTTGTGCCACCTGGGTTTACTTGTTACAGTGTAAGTCTAATGCCTATGGTTATTTGCTCATGTTTTTTGTTATGATACGCACTTAGTTTGGTGCCCAAATTAAGGGCATACAATCCGACAATGGGTTGGAATTCCTCTCTGGACCTATGTAGTAGTTTTTCACTGAAAATGTCATTATTCATCAGTGGTCTTGCATCGACACTCCACAACAAAATGGAATGGTCAAATGTAAGCATCGTCATAATCTTGAAATGGCTAGAGCTTTACAATTTCAAGCTGAACTTCAAATCCAATTTTGGGGTGAATGTCTCCTAACAGCGGCATATCTAATTAATTACCTACTTATCCCAAATCTCCCACGAAAGTCACCATATGAATTATTGTTTCAGAAACCTCCATGTTATGCACATTTGCACACATTTGGGTGCCTTTGTTATGCTGCCACACAAAAGCATGGAAGGGACAAATTCAGCTCCCATTCTTAACGTTGCATTTTCGTAGGGTATCCACGAGGCCAAAAAGATTATCGTGTCTACAATTTGGACACAACTTAGATATTTGTATCTCGTGATGTGGTGTTTTTTGAGGATAAATTCCCTCTTTTGAATTTTGGAAATACTTCTACAGTTGTGGTACCTCTACTAGTTATAGATGATTAGTCATCCCCTTGGAATCAGCCACATTACAAGACATTGGACCAACAGATCATCCTCCACTTTGGGCCCACTTCAGGCTCAAACTAATTCTTAGATTTCAGACAATGTTTTGACAATTTTTGTCCGAGATACACAAAATCAAAACATACAACCTCATGTTCCAGACCCATCTCCATTGCAAGATGTTGTCCACAATACTAACACAACCATCCTTGAGCCCAGGACTACTAGATTGCATCGATCACCACCCAAACTAAATGACTTTGTGTGTCTTACCTTAAAGATGGGTTCAAAACTATACTATATTTGATTTGTAGCACACAACATTCCACTTGTAACTACCCCTCTCACCCTGACCCATCATTAAATCCAATTGACCATATGACACATTTTGAACCCACCACCTACCAACAAGCCCAACAACATCCCTAAAGGCGCAAGGCTATGGCAACTGAATTAGCTGCCCTTGAGTCCACTAAGACTTGGACTTTGACAGATCTTCCCGAAAAAACTCCAATTGGTTGTAAATGGGTCCACAAAATCAAGATCAATCCAGATGGCAGCATAGAGCATTATAAAGCGCGTCTTGTATCTAAGGGCTACACACAAACTGAGGGTGTGGACTACACCGAGATGTATGCACCAGTAGCCAAACTTGTTATTGTTCGGTGCCTCTTTGCTTTAGCTGTAACATAACATTGGCATTTACACCAAATGGGCGTAAACAATGCCTTCCTCTGTGGTGCTCTTCATTAAGAAGTTTATATGCAGCCTCCTTCGAGCCTCCTCCCCAATGGTGACAAGCATGTTTGTAAACTTAATAAATCAATATAGGGCTCAAACAAGCCTCTCATAATTGATTTAAAACTTTGGCCCATGCTCTTAAGCAGCAAGGAATCTTTCAATCTTCTGCAGATGATGCTCTTTTCACTCTTACAAGGCCTTCGGGCATTCTTATTGTTCTCGCTTAAGTAGATGATTTGATCATCGCCGGTAGTGATTATGGTGACATTGCTTCTACCAAATAATATCTCAACAATTGTTTTCCCATCAAAGATTTGGGACCCCTTAAATATTTCTTGAGCATTGAGATTTTTTGGTCTTCCTCGGGCATCCTTTTAAGCCAACGAAAGTATACACTCAACATTCTTAAGGAAGCTGGCATGCTTGGTTGTCGCCCAAGTTCTTTTCCTATGGAACAACAACATCACCTTGGACCTAATTCTGGTCCACCAATAACTCAGCCTGATCAATACAAGAGATTAGTTGGACGCCTCATATATTTGACTATCACCAGACCGGAGATCACATACTCAGTTTACATCCTCAGTAAATTCCTAAGTGATCCATGACAACGTCATCTAGATGCAGCTATGCACATTTTCTGATATCTCAAGTCTTCTCTTGACCATGGAATATTTTTTCCTTCATCATCTGATCTTATGCTTCAGGTTTACTACGATTCGGATTGGGCTAGTTGCCCAATTACACGCTGCTCTACTACTGGATACATTGTAACCTTGGGGACTTCACCTTTATCGTGGAAGTCCAAGAAGCAATCAATTATTTCACGCTCCTCCGTAGAAGCCGAATATAGATCTATGGCAA